GTGTATTTGTATGTGTGTATGCGTGTGCGTGTATGTCTTTTTATTATTTTCATTTCACTCGTGAAAATGCAGTCAATGAGACTCGGGAATCAGGCCAGAATTAATTATCGAACGATCGTTCTGCGAAACAATATTCTTAATTTTTTTATTTGAAAAGTCAATAAGTGTAGCGTGATATGAAAATCGAATGGAGAAATTTTGCCTCTTCTTTTTATTATTTACTTATTTATTTAAAAAACGAGAAATATATCTGTTAAAAGGAAAATTTCTCCTTTTTCTTTCTCTCTCTTTATATTATTTTCTTGTGTATATTATCTTTTCGCCTAGCCTGTTCCCGTGAATTTTAGAATATCTGCCTTAGAGTATTTTGAAGATACAAAAACTACGATAGAAAACAGAACAGACTTCGAATATTTTTGTTCCAGTTTTTTTTTTTTTCTTTTTCTCCTTATTCTTCCTCATTTTTTTAATTTCACACTCAACATCAACGTCGTATATTATTATTTTTATCCCATTTTTTTTTAAATTATTACTATTATTATTCCTCTTATCATTATTTATTAATATTATTGTTATCATTAGTGTCATTCTTACATCTACATATATATATATATACATACACAACATGTGTTTATGTATGTATATACAATTTAATTTCACTCGAGCTCTGTTATCAAGAATTTAATCATCGTTACTTTTATATCGTATTACATTAATAGCATTTCTCTTTCTTCAATTTTTTTTTCTTTTTTTCTTTCTTTTTAATATTGATTTTTCTTTGCTTTTATTATACAGATTGTCATGGTTGGCATCGCATTGCCGTCGATTTTTTTTCAGCCTGTTATTCTTATTTTTATAAATCTATCGTCTTTCATTCTTTTTTTTTTTTTTTTTTTTTTTTTTTTTTTTTTTTTTTTTTTTTTTTCTATTTCATTTCCATTCGACAAAATTTCGATAAATAAATAACCATGGCTGAGTGAGATTTTACTTTCAATATCATTCGCTTTATTTATTCTTCTCATTTTTATTTCTATAATATGAAATTTGTGCAGTTTTTCTTACGTTAAATTAAATTTCTCAATCGATCAAATATCTTTTTTTCGTTTTCTTTTTTCGTCTATAATAGTCACGATCAATATGAATATCCATTCGATTCTTTTATTTTTTAAGACTTTTCCCTTTGATCAATATCTATCGATTCTATAATTATATTAACAACCGGTTGTTCGAAACGTGTTTTCATAGGAAGAACAATTTATTGAAGATCTTTGAAAAATGATCGTCTATGAGATCCATCATCGATCCTTGGCACGATCAATTCGATCCTCTTTCACACGATGTTTCAATGGAGTAATAACTCTTGGATGAGATATTTCTTTTTACTTTTTGTTGACCACCCTTATTTATCGAAGAACTAGTAGTAGTTAGAGTCTACTTTCCTCAGGTACGTATTGTTCCTTTCATTTTAATAAGGGTGAAGAGAGGTAAAAAGGGCTGTTGAATTAATACACTATGCACGATATTTTTTTAGAGGCCACAGTCGAAACTCTCCTGGTTTTGCACTTTTTCCTTGTAATCTTCCAAGTAACTATCGACGTTCCTGAAGATGCCAGAGTTTGCTTGATACATCAACGTTTCGAGAATTCTCTCGTTTTTGATTGCTTTCGATGGCAGAACGATCTGAAAGATATAGACGTAAGAAATCAGTTTTGTTATATTATTTTATTTCTCTCAAGTTTTAATTTCAATTCCTTTTCGAGCTTAATAATGAATATTTTTTTTAGAAAGAAGTGATAAAAAAAGAAAGAAATATTAGATAATCAAATCCAAATTCTTTTCTTTCATTGTCACAATAATAGAATTCAATATTATTTCTAATTTACTTATATTAAAAATTATAAAAAAAAATATATTTGATCTTTAATGAATTAACATTCTCACCCTGATAAGTTCCTGTGGTGTTATCCTATGCAGTTTCAAATCTCTACTTAATCTGTCCATGATACGCTTGAATTCCACTTTCGGATCGACTTTGGTCGACTTTCTATCTTTAATCCTGTTCTTCGCCCACTCGAGCATCGCCTCGAATTTTCTAATCTCGCCGACTTCGAGACCTCTGCACATGATCATTTGAACCATCGACTCGCTCAGTGTCAAGAAATCAGGTGATTGGAACAGTTGATACGCTCTGGTTTCGATGAAAGCGAGGATCATGTTGACCAATTCTGAGGCGGACGTGTAACGCCAGCAATAATTCTCCAACGCGCTCAGCATCACGCATACGATCTCGATCCGTAAGAATTGTTTTGCATGGTGGAAACACGCTTGTAGAAGCTCAGGTAGATCGTAGTGTTCCGCTGCACAGATGAGGCCTGGTATGTTGCTGCAAGTCAGTGGACAGGAGCCAGTTTGCAGATAATTGAGCAGGATTTTGAACGTCTTTGGATCGAACTCGATGATATCGAACTGTATGAACGAGAAAAATTTACAATATAAAATATATATAATAATTTTATAATATTAAAATATATAAAATGTTATTCTATATAAAAAGTGTTGGAAATAGTTTGTAAAATTACAAAATTAAAATAATGAATTTTTAAGATGTATTAGAAAATTATTGAATAACATTTATATAAATCAAAAGTTTCATTTATGATTTGTTGTAATATAATGTTTTACAGATATTTTAACTATTTTATTACATATTTGTGACGTGTGTATAGTTATCAACGGCAAAAGCTGAATCATTATTTTTTTTTTTTTGTATATTATTAATTACATATATAAAATTCTTTGGAAAAGAAACGTTTAGAATCGGAAGAGTTACGACGAATTTTCAAGAATTTCAATCTCTATTAATTATTATATCATTTTATTTGCATATAATCACATGTATTATTGTTTTTATATATTTTTTATATATTTTATGCATATTTTATATATATTTTTGTATTTTTTTTATAGTTGATAGATTTATAATAATAGCAGAAAGATAAATATGTACAAGATAAGTACAAAACAGGTAAGTATATCAAATTTTATAATTTTTCTTTACATGAAATTTTTATAATATTTTATAATAGAAGATTTATTGAATTCTTTTTAGAGAATAATGGATAATATTGCATAATATTATTGAATATTAAATTAATTGTTACAAATTATAGATTATTCCAAAAGTATGTATATTTATGATTTATTTTTTCAATTCTAGTTTTCATTTTATAATTATAGAATTGTTTATGAAATATTTAAACAATTTTTATACTTAAAAAGAATTAAAAGTATTTTTTTCGAATAATTTTTCCAAAATTATCAAATGTTAATAGAAATTATGTTCCAGCAAAATATTAAAATAAAGGTATTAAATTTCCTTTTATTTTAATTGAAAGGTTGTGGGACAAATTATAGATTTCGTTTTATAGAGAAATAAAATTAAATAACAAAATTTTTGAACCAGTTACGTTCAATACATTTTAAATTTGGAATTTCATAGAAACAAGGAAATAGTCGATTTTTAAGAAATTTAATTTTAAATTTTTCTATGTTTTCATCACTTGTATAATTTTCAAAATAATAATTAGCTTGCTCGATAAAGCAATCGAGATTTAAATATAATTTGTATCAAGAGATTCAATCATTATGCATTATAATTTCGAGGATTTTATACGTAATATTTTATCAATTTTAATAATATCTCATCTAATGTTATTAGTTTGAATATTTCATATAATAATCTTAAGATATATATATATGTAATTGTTTTTTATATATTCTATATTCATATTTCAAATATATTTTACTTTTTTTTTTACAGTTACTATAATAATAATATGATAAAGAAATAAATATAGAAAAGGTAAGTTAAATTTATAAATTTATAAATATAATTAAATATAAGTAAAGTATTGTAAAAAAAATTTGTTTCAGAAAATACAGTAGACTAAAAAGATAAGTATCAGGAAAATATAAGGTAAGCACATCAAATTTTATAACTAGATATAAGTAAACTGTTGAAAAAAACATTTATTCCTGAAAATAATAGCAGATTAAAAAGGTAAGTATAAGGTAAGTATAAGGTAAGTATATTACATTTTTAGAAATTTTTATCATCTTTCAAATTATATTTTACTCATGAAAAATTTCAAAATTTTCGAAAATTTAGAGTTCTGGCGCTAAAATTTCGGTTTGTTTACAAACATTGGTTTGTTTATTTACATTTTCGGTTTGTTTATTTACATTTTCAATGTTTATTTACATTTTCGGTTTGTTTATTTACATTTCC